AATTAAGTTGGGTGGGGCTTGTGTTTGGGGGAGGGGCTTGAAAAAGGCCCCGTGGGCCCCGTTTATTGCGGCCTTGGTTACCTGAGAAGGAGTCTCATTTAGGTTTTAACCATGATTTAAATCTATGTTTTGTCTTTACTTTACTGATTCACTGAACTCTTTCTTCAGTTGTTCTTTCTTTGCTGTAACAACCTACATCAATAAAAGTCACCAAAGTCACTTTGGAGCCTTTCATCCATTTACAGTCAGAGACAACACTAACTTTGCTATTGCATCATTATTATCTACCTGTCAGTCATCATTCATCCCGATTGGATTTTGAGGTAGGAAAGCTGTGATGAGTGACTTGTAAGATCCACTGAGGAAGTCTGCAGGCACTTTTGAAAAGCGTATTGCATTGTGCTTTTACCCAACCCTGAACGTACCACCATGGCGGTCTTGAGGAGCAGGTAATGAATGGTCTGTGTGACATCAGCCGCATGCGTCAGGTTGTGATAGGGATTCTTGTGTTTGCTGTAGCCCACTTCCAACGAGTCCACGAAGGATATGAGGACACAAACAGGGACCTTCAACAGAAGACAAGGAACAACCAGTTGCTTTGCAGAATTGTAGAAGCAATACAGAGAAGTTGTTCTGTTGAACCCAGTACGTTCCCATCAATACTTAGTTCTGCTGTCACTGACATTGTGCTCATTACATACACAGCGTCTTGTCAAAATGGACATACCTTGAAACGGTTGATCAAGTCATATCTGGTGAATAGCTCATAGAAGACACATTTCAGAGCGTGGTCCCCACTAGCATCGTTCAGTGCAAACACATCAAAAGACCACATGTCCACATGCTAGAAAAGACACACAGAAGCTTTATTAGCACGTGAATGTCCACATAACGGTTCAACTGTTCATTTCTAGGATTCCTTTGTTAAGGTACCATCGACAAGAAAACATAAAAACACCCGTTACAATTTAGTCTGGAGGATTTTGTACTGATATAGAATTTAACAACTGGGAACTCGTTATTGAATTCTAGCTTCTTTTGTTATCCTGCACCTGCAAAATCTATGGATTTGTGTGTTGAGATCAGTTTATATGTTACTGCTGAAGAAATATAGCAATTTTCCACACAAATGGAACCACATTCAGCTGGTTCATGTCGTATTTATCAGATCGATCCCAGTTTGTGTTTGGAAACGGTGAAACCTTGATGACGATGCAGACAATACTCAATTGTATCCATCTTGTATGTAAGTGAGACGAGTCCAGCAGATTTTGTCACACGTCCACGTGGCTGATGTGACGCGTATTTACCAGCGTTCAGACACATTCACATCTAACTGAAACGTCCTGCCGTCATTTTGTTACAACTTCCACAAGACAAGAGTTGACTACTGGTTTACCTTCAGGTCGGCCATCTTTTGTGTAACTAACTAGTAACTGCCTGCTGGTCTCCTGTATTCATGTGCAGGGTCCCACTGTCCTATAAGGAATAAGGCTCGCAACATTGTGCAGCAAGAATTTAAACAATTCTGGGTTAGAAACTTGGAAACCGTATTGAGCCACGAGTTACTCATTAAACTAAATATATTACTAACATACACATAGACCTAATGGAATCATTTAAATACTAATTAGTAGTAAAATAATATGAATGAATGATAATGTAATTGTAATTTATTTATCATCCATGGACGATCTTACTTACTACAATATAATATTTAATTGCCTTTCACCAATTTACGGGGTATTGCAGTTAATATAGTCTTAAGATATTTAGAGTGCTTTACTTTAGCTTGAAAATGCTTAAGGCAACGTAGCTTGTGGGTAAATGATCCCGTTGTGATTTATAAATGAGTGAGGAAGCCACCGTGCTACTGGAATGGCCCAGTACCGTGTGCCATTAAAACGCTGGGGGAGCCGCGCTCTGTTGATGAGCCGACTGCCGACGGGAAGAAACCCTTTGTGTCCATAAAGTCCTGCGTGCATGAGGATGATGTGTTAACCTGAACCTCACCTGCTTTCTGCTTTTACACTTCAATGTTTCCCCTTGGATTCTTTGGATTGTTGTACCTTTTGTGGACTCCTCTGCTCCACAGGTTGGTTTTTTAGGACAAACGTTTGCGTTTGGCCATTTCTCTACGTGCTCCTCCACCTCTGCTCAAAGGTCTATTTAGCTGCCGATCGTGAAAGAATTCAAGAAAATCATTTTAAAATCCCTTTTTCTTCATGTTCATGGATTATTTGAGAAAAGCAGAAGTGAAATCTCTCGCCTGGCTTCCTCAATGCACAGAGCTTCTAGGACTGAGGCGGCGTAGTCCAGGTTTCTCTTCAGCTCCACCACAGATGCCTCCACCCTTTCCAGCTGCTTCACAAGACAGCGCGACCTGCAACACATAGAGGCCCAGCAGCATCTGCCCTCCATTCAGACCGTCCCAAACGCTGGATTGGGGAGCTGTACAATCTGTAGATAGAATATATCTCCCACAGATGGTTTGGGAGTGATTAGCACAATCTGGGCTGTATAACACGTGCGCCCATATTACATGGCAGTGCAGTTGGTAATGTCAAAGTCAAATCAGCAGTTTCACAGTTAATGTCACTGCAAAGAAAGCTGCAGCGCTCTTTTCTAACTGGGTTCTGTCTCACTCAGTGGACGTAGATTGTGGGTTGAAGTCCCGTCTCAAAGCACATTCTAAACACTTGGCTAGAACGCCATGACAGGAAGTGTAAAGCCTGTTCTATGTGTGGCGAGTAAAACCTAAAGTAAAGGACACCATCTGTTTAGCAAAGGCAGCAAGCAAAGCTCCTCTTCCACGTTTCCCTTCATCACAGCTTCATTTGGCATGTGAATGATACATTTACATGAAGCAAAGGCCGCTGTGTGTGTGTGTGTGTGTGTGTGTGACCTGCTGGCAGTCTTCTCCATGGTGTCCGGGGCACCAAGGACCGGCAGCTCATCCTTCAGGATCTCTTCATTCTGAACTCCTTTGTATTCAGTGATGCCAACAGCCGCTGGGACGGCAGTGCGCAGTGCATTCTGGGACCGTGAGCCTGAACGATGGACACAAAAGCGCCTGCTAGCATTTCCACGTGTGCAGCGTCCATGTTTTAATCCATCAGGGACCAAAGTGATTGACGCAGTCGGCCGTAAGACGGAGAGACGAGGACGTGTTTGAATGGACACGGAGGAGTGAACACAGTTGAAGAAAAAAGATGTGTCAACTACAAAGGAGGCTTAGACCCACTGCTGGAAAACACACACGTCAGAGGAGCAAATCCTGATGCTGCACGAAGAAAGTGGGGATGGTTAAAGAATGAAGTCTGAACAGAATCAGTAGAGTTTTCTGGCCGACTTGTTGTTGCCTCCAGTTGTGCGACTGTTTGGACTCAGTGTCCCCTTCTGCAGGGGACGTATTCATGGCGGGTCACATGTACATGTGCCCCTCACGTGTGGACAGAAGCCCCCGTCACATGGTATTTACCTGCATTACAGAGGTCACTGTTTGAAACACAAGTTGGATGAACTCACGTGCCAAGTGGGCCGGTGGAAAGCGGGAGCTCGGCGCCGCCTCGTTGGCAACTGGACAAAAGAAGGAGAATTTCTGTCATTTGACATTCTTACTGGTCATTTGGGTCCAATAAGCATGACTTCTACTGTCCAATGACAGCGCGGTGCTGGGGACACACACTGTGCTTACTCTCCTGGTCCACCTGGTACAGTGTGGGGACATTCGTCTCTAAAGTCACGTCCACTTTAGTGACCTCGTTCATTCCCAGGATACTTCTACCCAACCTGTGTTTAGTCACAGACGCCAACCTGCAGCCCCACGTTTTGTTTGTGTTGTTCAGCCGCTCGAGGAAGTAAACTTGCTTGTGTGTGAAACGTGTTTCCAACCAAGTGATAAGAACAAGAACAGAATCAGTAAAAGGAAACATAACACCTGACCTTCCCAACCCAGAGCCACTGGTCAGAGGATCAGAGTGTGTGTGTGTGTGTGTGTGTGTGTGTGTGTGTGCGTGTGTGTGTGTGTGTGCGTCATGGGGGTGCAGCTGGAATCAGGAAGTGAAGGAGGACACCAAGAAGCAGCCTCTTCATTAGTGACAATGACTCCCTGAGCTCCGCTGCCCAACAACTGACGACACACCAGTCGGCATGACGTCACCTCCCAGTCTCCTGGTTGCCATGGAGACAGCAGCCTGTAAACACGACGCTGTGTGCTGTTCTCCGTACTCATCACATGGACTCCATCAGACAGTAACTACGCCCTCTTCACAGTGGGCCGGGCTACGTCGGCTGTTGTGAGGCCGGCTGTGGACTTCAGTCCATCCCGATGTCTCCTGGAGCAGTTCCTACTGCGGCCGTGCCATCGGGGACAAACAAGGAGACACAAAGTGGGGAAGCGTTTCCTCTTGGAGCTGCTGTCAGCTGGTTGCAGGAGGAAAAGACGACTTGTCAACAAGGCAAAAGTGATGGTGATCAGGATGCTCGGCCTGCGCTTAGTGCTCCTAATGGCCTTTGGCACGTTTCACTGCGCCCAAAGGAAAGCCACCAATCAGAGCCTGGAGTCTCCAACACAGCTGTCAATCACTGCCAGTGACACGTTGACAATCAAACCGTCTGATCTAAACTTCCTTTGAGCTGTTTCAGAGGCATGTTTCAGCTACTGATTAGCAGTAAAACATGTTGGGACAGAAAGCAGTCGAGCCAGGACGTGTCTCCTTGTGGACGTGTAGATTATGTCTCGTGTTCTACAGTCAAGAGACAGTGAGACGTTTCATCGAAGTCACTAAATGTTGCTTTAAAGCCGTCATCACAAAGACATAGTTTCACTTTGTGTGTTTGTCTTGAAGGACACGCTACATCCAGACGGAGGAAGATGAAGCAGGTAAACGGCTACAAATAGAACACAATGAAGCTGAGTAACACACACACACTGAAACACAGAGCATCTCACCAATGGTGAAGCTGAAGCGTCCGTGCAGAAAGTAGCACTGCCGCCCTTTTTAAACGCCTGTTTGTTGGACGTTGGTCGTGTCGTTGGGCTCCTGATGTGCACGGTGTCCCTCAGTGGGTGAGGGGGGGCCGTTCTCTCTGTGCTGCTGTGGACGGGTGTTCAGGGTCAACGCCGCCCTTTTCCTCTTTGCTCTTCGCCCCTCGAGGCTCCAACAACTCTGATTCCTGCTCCATTGAGACACTTTCATGTCTGATATTTATATTTACTGTGAATTAGGTTCCCTCTGCTGCTCCGTCACACACAGCGTTTCTATTTGAAATGAGAAGCAAACAAAAGCGTGATAGTTCAACACCCGACAGTCAAGAAGCGTATTCAAATGTTTCAGAGCAGCTGACGTCATCGAGGCAGCTGCTGTCCCATGAAATGAGCGTCCTCTGTTGTCCCCGTGAGTCAGGACCCCCGAGTCTGTTCTCCCCAGAACGCAAGTCCGTCCTCTGCGTCCTGTCGTTGAGAAAGGGCCCCACGTTGGGAGGTTAATACGAGCAGCGTGGAGATCAGGACCTTCAGCTGCTTCCACGTGTCGTCCAGTCAACAGGGGACACGAGGACAGAGGTCCCTCATGATGCAGCTGTGGACAGTCTTCTCGTATGTTTCTGTTGCTGCTTATTACCCGTCCATGACCAGCCGTTCTCCTGAAGCTTCCCCTGGACCGAGGCGCTAATGGAACCACTGAGCTCCACCACCGGGGCTCCCTGAAGACCTTTACTGGTGCTCTGAGTTCTCTCCGTTCTTCCTGCTGCAGGAACGTCTCCGCGCCCCTCAGCTGCTGTTCATACAGCTGTCAATCATGTTGAATGACACGTGAATGAAGGCGGCACGATGCAGCGCGCTGAGGCCATGCAGAGAAGCTCAAGTAGCGGTGAGCCTTGTAGTGACGTCATGGTCTTAACTCAGGTAGTGACGTGATGTCACCTGTCAATCACAGGTCAGTGGAGCCACGATAATGAAGTAACTGTTGTTCTTTGGTGACTAAAGAGCCTCTTCTTGTTCACAACAACGGGTTCAGTCATCGAGCAGCAGCACATGTGGGATTAGTTCACTTCCTGCTTGTAGTTCACTGAGAACGTCAGCGCCTCTGGACACGATGGACTAACATCTGGAGGGACAACGTCCCCTTGCTGGACATCAACACGAGTTCCCTCGTTGTCGTCTTACAGGACGTTGTCCCACACACGTCTCTGGTTTAGTTCAGTGTGTTGTGTTCTAGTGTCTTTTAAACACTTAAAACGCACTTGTGTGACGTCACAGAACTAACCGGTGGCTCTGTGGGCCACAGCGCCCCCACGTGGGCAAACCAAGCAGCTGCTTATAAGCGCTCAGCCTGACGGTGACGTGTGCTGCAGAACTCTGTTCAGAAAGGGTTGAATTAAACAAACGCTGCTGCCTAACCGGCCCAAACATCACCACTAACATCAAGTAGAAGAGCCTTTGTGAACCACGCGGAGCTCATCTGTTATTCGGCAACACGAAATCACCTGAAGAACCAACGTGTCTGATAACAATCCCACTCTGAGCCCTTTGGACATGTTGTCTCATCAGGAGACCGTAGCGGTTTATCGGCTCTCACGTTGAACTAACTTACATCCGGAAGACGTTTACAGCAACACGAGCCTTCGGAGTCTTTTCGCTTCCGTTTCTGTGTGTTTCTCCTCCATATTCCGGTGAACGGAGCTGCTAAAACGAGATGTTTCTACAAGGAGGTCTGGTGGAGAGGACAGAGACTCTCGTTATGAAGGGATGAGGACAGACGTGTTTATTATTCAGAAGACAGTGGTGTCCGTTGAGGTTGGACAGGTTTAATAAAGACTTTAACTCACAGGGAGACGCCGCTCTGCTGCTGCAGTACCGACAGCGGCCGCGGTGGCGCCGTTTCACCACAAGTCACAACGTCTTTAATGGTTTAATAACCATAGAAAATCATAATTAATAACTAAAGACAATGAGGAACGCTTCACGGGTTTGCGTGTCCTCCTCTAGCTGGGACTTTGCTGCGTCACGATTGGCTGCTTCTCATTAATTAACTTATATAATATTTAACTAAGAAACTAAGACATATGCTCCATGTATCAGAGAGCTGGAGAAAAGATCTGCTTCATTCTTCCATTATTCCTCACTCCACACAATGAACATTTGGTACTAAAACAATAAAATGAAGGTGCTGTTGGTGAAAGCGTCCTCAAGAGGACGAGCTTGTGATGGATTAAATAAACGTCACTATGACATCATCAGTGTGCAGCGCAGAAATATCAACATCTGTAAAAACGCAGGAAGAAATGTGACGTTTCTTCATGAGATCTCAGCGGCTGCAAAAACTAAAGGTTTCCTGAATGAAATCATTCTATTGTTTAATGCAGTAAAAGAAATGGACGTATTCACAAGGCTCTTATTGTCCAAGCAGCTAAAAGCAGCTATAAACCAACAGATTGAGATGGATGGAGCGATTGATTGATTGCATCATCGATGGATTGACTGATTGATTGATTGAT